TCTAGCTTTCTTCCATTGGGAAAAAGGAAAAAATTCTTAATTGTGAATGTTGAAAAAAAAAAAGCATTGACGTGTAAAGGAATGCCAGTTACATTCACAGCACACCTAGTATACAGTAAACTCTACCCACCAGAAGAGAATGGAGTGACTTATTCCAGATTCTAACAGCAAAAAATTGTCACCCCAGGATAATCTACCAAGAAAAGTTTAACTCTCCAAAAATGAAATAAAATTCGTCCACAGTAAGGAAAAGTTAAACGAATGTCTCTCTTTCGAACATGCCCTACAAAGGATACTGACACATGTTCTGTTGACAGAGAAGGGGAATAGCACCCAACCAAACAAAAGGCAAATGTGCATCCCAGTGCAGTAATGGAAGAATGCATCGACGCACAACCCATTGCTGCAACAACAGGGCTATGTAACTGTATGTCAGCACGCAGTGCTGCATTCTCACTTAGGGATAGCAAGGCCAAGACAGGCTGGCCCCAAGCAGCTCCTGTTTCTGATGGGGAAGCCAGGGTACCGGGCAAATTACCATCCACGCACATTAACCAGGAGGCTACATGGCTTAAAATCATCAATCATCTAATTGTTACTTACAGGAAATATAACTTATCAAGACAGATAAAAATCTCACTCAAGGATTTTGATTTTTTTTTTAAAGTTTTGTCTCTTCAAAGCAATGTTTTCCTTTATTAAACTCTTAACTGACACTAAAGTCATTATGCAGTATCATTTTGTTCAAGATTCTTCATTTGCATTTCTTCAGTGCCGCATTAGTGATTCAGTAGCATATTCTTTAACTTCATGGTGTTGTAAATTTCTATTTTTCTTCCTTCCTGTTGTTGCTTTGGTATTGTGGTTTTTCATTTACAGCGATGTCTAGTAGCTGTGTAATAGAGGCAGTCATTTCCAGCTATGAGGAGACAATGCAGTACAATTTCTACATCCAGTTCAAAGACTCCTGATGAAACTAATTATACCTTGACAATAGGATGCTGGACTGCCTGCTATTGTCCATGTCTGCAATGATGGATATATGACTATTTATGCACAGTTAGAATATAGGAATAATATGGGGGAATTAAGTGGTAAATCCCAGGGCCTCAGAACAGTAGCAGAAAATGGCAATAAATAAATAAATAGGTTACAGAAGCCATTGCTCCTTACGATCAACATTTTCCGGAGTTGTTAAATGATACTTACACCTGGTTTCTAAACTTTCACTTGGTCTTAGATTCCTGAGCACAAGCATCTTGGGGTCCTGGCTTGTAGCCTCATTTCTCCAGCATCCGCTCTAAGATGGAAGCTGATTCCATTGTGAAGGACTCCCAGGATGTGCAGTTGGACCTCCAGACCTTTTACCAGGGATATGGCTGGCCAGACTCAAAAGACCAAACAGCCAGGTCACATAGAGGCCACAAAGCACAGCCACAATGAGAGCGTACATTCATTTCACAGCTGCACCCACTCTGCCATGCACACAGTAAACAGGCAACTCTTCCATCCCATTCTCACCAAAGTAAAAAGCAGGTCAATTCATACATCGTCATGTCTTTCCCCTTTTTTATGATGTATTTATTTTTACTGGAAAGGCCAATTTACAGAGAGAAGGAGAGACAGAGAAATATCTTCCACATGCTGCTTCACTCCCCAAGTTGCTTCAGTAACCAGAGCTGAGACAATCCAAACTCAGGAGCCAGGAGCTTCTTTTGGGTCTCCAACATGGGTGCAGGATCCCAAGCTCTGGGCTGTCCTCTGCTGCTTCCCCAGGCCACAAGCAGAAATCTGGAAAGGAAAATGGGACAGTCGGAACATGAACCAGTGTTCACATGGCACCCTCACGCATGCAGGACACGGAGTCACTGAGCCCACATGCCAGGCCTGACCTTATCATTCCACCTTATTTCCCAGCAGAAACGCAGTCAGAGCATGCCTGCTGCTACAGATTTCTCGCTAAGTCCATGAAAGTTTTAGAGCTAAGTATGCCCTTGCTAACATTATAAAGGATACATAATGTCTACTTGATCAGAGAGCAGACGCATAAGGAGTTAGCTGGACAGCAGGACAGTTAGAAATGGTTCTGCCCTACTGTGCCATCAGGGATGCCCTCCAAATCCATTGTGCCCCCGAGCAGTGCTTGTTTGTGATGGGGGAAGCCAGGCTACTGGGCAAACAGGTGCCTGTGATAGAAGCCGCACTTGGAAGAGCAGGGCTATGGGAACAGAGCCACCCTGGGTGTTAAAGAACTCCTGGGTCAGAACCACAGCACCTATAGGACTGAAACTAAAGAGCCCTTTGCTCTGCCCCGGCTTCCGTGTAAATATTGGGTCAGTGACACTGCAGGTAAAACAATCAATTACCATTGACATACAATGTCTTTGTTTTACTAGTCTCATAGTCCGAATGCAACGAGGTGATGGGGAGTGACCCCCAAGGAGGCACTGACACAGCCCTTGTTTCTGCTAGTCCCTTATGTAGATAGGCCCGAGATTCACTGCAGCTTTGCAAAAAATTCATCCAGCCCATGCCTTGCTTTGCTCCCCACTCCATGCTCATGTTTGTGTCCAGCAGGCACCTCAGGGGCCAGGACACCTGTCCTGTGTTCACTGCCTGCACCCCACTACCTGGCCATCCTCTGCGAATCCATTCACATTTAGTTAAACTGACTTGGTGATGAAAGCAATATTCTGATATAAATTACTGAAAACTATCCACATATCCACAGCCAACGTGGGGTGCTAGCAGCAGAGGAAAGCCTAGCCTGCTACGCCATGGCACTGGCAGCAAAGCATCATACTTTTATAAGCCAAAGTAATGATTTGGGGATATATCACCAATATGAATCACAACATCAATGAAAATCTGCTATCATTATGGAAATAAACAGTGAACCAAGCCTCGGAGCTAGTGGTTAAGATGACACTTGGAGCAGCTGCATCCCATCCAAGTAACACTCTGAGCTGACGCTCAGCCCGCTTGCAGCTCACTGCTGAGGAAGACCTGGAGAGGCAACAAGTGAGGGCCCAGCAGATCAGGTCCCCAAAACAACTGGGAGCCCAGGTGTGGCTCTTCACTCAGCCTTGGCTACTGTGAGCATTTGGGGTGTGGGGCAGCACACAGGGGCTCTCTCTCACGTGTCTGTCTCTCAAATAAATCAAACAGGAACCTGGCATAACCGGACACACTTATTTATGAAGTTGTATACACAATTCTAGGTAAGAGAGAAATCAGTCTAAGGGTATGAGCAAGGTATAAGGAAATGAAGCTTCTGCAGCAAGACCTGACGCAGCTCCGCAGCCCGTCCTGGGAGCACATCACGCAGGAAGCCCAGCATCTCTCCAGGACTGACGCAGCTCCGCAGCCCGTCCTGGGAGCACATCACGCAGGCGGCCCAGCATCTCCCCAGGCCTGACTCAGCTCCGCAGCCCGTCCTGGGAGCACATCACGCAGGAAGCCCAGCATCTCCCCAGGCCTCGCACTCCGCAGCCGCCTAGGAGCCTCACCAGCAAGCCAGCATCTCCCAGGCCTGACGCGCTCGCAGCCCGTCCTGGGAGCACATCACGCAGGAAGCCCAGCATCCCCCAGGCTGACTCACTCCGCAGCCCGTCCTGGGAGCACATCACACAGGTGGCCCAGCATCTCCCCAGGCCTGACTCAGCTCCGCAGCCCGTCCTGGGAGCACATCACGCAGGAAGCCCAGCATCTCACTCTATGAAGTCCTGCCATACCCCAGTCAGTTTAGGAGTGGTCCCAACATTTCTCCTAAACAAGGAACCCTAGCAACATTCTGATGGAGCCGCCCTGTCTTCCAACTTCAGATGTTCAAACTGAGCAGACATTGTGTCTCTTTCCCGTGCAGTGAACAGAGTGTTTTCTCCGGCGCAAGCAGCAAGCCTAACTATTTCCTCCAGAGACTCTTCCTTACTAACAATGTTCTATCCGGGAGCTCCCTCTGCCGTGACGGCCTTGGTGTCTCAGATAATGGAGACTTGACACTAAGAACTAGAGTTCCAACTGGTAAACCACATCCAGAGCCTCTTTGTTTTAATTAGCTGGCATGTGATGGTGCAAAACAACTTGGGACTACACAATGAGGATGTGTTAGTTCAGATCGCATCTTGGGCGCTTGAGAACTGCGACCCTCAATCAGACGTTCACACTTTTAGCTCTCAGTTATGACCATCTGATATAATAACACTTAACAGACAAAAAGCATGCTATGTATATGGGAGCCTTTGTGACTCAAAGACATTGCAGTGATGCAAAATAAATGCTTTTAGATCAATGAGCATGCCAAAGCTTGGAATAGATTATTTCTTACTGGGACTTAAAGAATGAATCTGGAATAGTAGATCTGAAGCACCATGCACTGACCTGTGTACAAAGACTTCCCATGGGCAGGCTGGGTGGCTCCACAGTCGTCCCACCATGCTCTGGTTGCAGGCCGGGTGGCTCCACAGTCATCCCACCATGCTCTGGTTGCAGGCCGGGTGGCTCCACAGTCGTCCCACCATGCTCTGGTTGCAGGCCGGGTGGCTCCACAGTCGTCCCACCGTGCTCTGGTCGCAGGCTGGGTGGCTCCACAGTCGTCCCACCATGCTCTGGTTGCAGGCCGGGTGGCTCCACAGTCATCCCACCATGCTGTGATCGCAGGCTGGGTGGCTCCACAGTCGTCCCACCATGCTCTGATCGCAGGCTGGGTGGCTCCACAGTCGTCCCGCCATGCTCTGATCGCAGGCTGGGTGGCTCCACAGTCGTCCCACCGTGCTCTGGTCGCAGGCTGGGTGGCTCCACAGTCATCACACCTTGCCCGGTCACAGGCTGGGTGGCTCCACAGTCATCACACCTTGCCCGGTCACAGGCTGGGTGGCTCCACAGTCGTCCCACCATGCTCTGGTTGCAGGCTGGGTGGCTCCACAGTCGTCCCACCATGCTCTGGTCGCAGGCTGGGTGGCTCCACAGTCATCACACCTTGCCGGGTCACAGGCTCCTTGCAGCTGTTCACACTGTCTGTGATGCTCACAGTCTGGTCTTGCAGCAGTCCCTACATCCATCACAGCCTTTGGACTGGGCATTTCATTGAGCAGACTCCTCCTGACAGACACAGGAAAATGTGGAAATTCAAGTTATTATGGCTGCAACCCAAAACTGACATTTCATGAAAACAGGCTGCCTTCATTGACTCAGGCACCGTCAGATTATTTTCATACATCAGTATCTACAAAAACTCAACAGCAGTGGGAGAGGAACACTTCAACATACGCAACTAGGCACCGTGGCCTGATTCTCTATGACAAAAGTTCGTCTTCCTACAGAATCACTACTAAAGTCAATGCTTTTGGAGCAAAGTGTTGTATCTAGATGGCCTTTAAAATGAATGCAAATCCCGTGAACGTGTTTCGAAGCATGAGAACTGGATTATGCTTATTAAACAGAAGTTTATCTTTTGAGACAGAAGCCTGCATTGGTCCTGCTCCATCACATAATGTCTGGCATTTGGCTCAAGCACTGAATTATCTCTGGGTTTAAAGATATTGTGGTAGTGCTGTCTCTGAAACGATATCTACCTCTCAATCCTTGCAGATTCTGAAAATTTAATTTTGTGTGTAACAGTGTGCCATTTCACATGTACGAATGATATTCTACACTTATTAATTTTTTCGACAGATATTAGTATTGATATTGATCAGCTAAGACAGACAACAGTGACAGGTGCGGTGGCCTAGTGGCTAAAGCCCTCACTTTGAATGCGCCAGGATCCCATGAGAACACAGGTTCTAATCCCGGCAGCTACACTTTCCATCCAGCTCCCTGCTTGTGGCCTGGGTGGGAAGTCTGGCCCAAAGCCTTGGGACCCTGCTCCCTGTAGCAGACCTGCAGGAGGTTCCTGGCTCCTGACTCCAGATCAGCGCAGCACTGGCCGTTGTACTCACTTGGGGAGTGAATCATCACCGGAGGATCTTCCTCTCTGTCTCTCCTCCTCTCTGTATACCTGGCCTTGTAATAAAAATAAAAATAAATATTAAAAAAAAAGGGAAAATAGTGGTAGTCACAAATAAAAGCTAATGATAACATATTTTTCCTTTATAATCCATAAATTGGCCCCAGCGAGATAGCGTAGTGGTTAAGCTCCACGCCTTGCACGCACCGGAATCCCATACGGTCGCCAGTTCTGATCCTAGCGGCCCTGCTTCCCATCCAGCTCCCTGCTTGTGGCCTGGGAAAGCAGTCAAGGATGGCCCAAAGCCTTGGGAAACTGCACCCGCATGGGAGACCTGGAGGAGGTTTCTCTCTCCTCAGCCGGCAGGAGAGGAGTGTAGGCAGGGTAGGGGTGGTTGGGGTGGACGGGAAGGAATGACCCATTATTTCTATAGATGTTCTCCACGCTCTCGTCCCATTTGGCAGTGCCTGACAGTTTCCTGCCAGGGAGTAGCGAGGGCTCAATGAACCAGCTTCCTGCCATCCACCAAGAGGCCTGGCTGGCATTCCTGGCTCCTGATTTGGGCCCCAGCTGTTGCCAAGAACTCAGGGGGTGAACCAGCAGATATAAAAATCTCTCTTGTCTCTGGGAAAAGGGCCTCAGGTCAGGCCTGATGTGGTAGTCTAGCAGCTAAAATCTCCATCTTGGCCGGTGGCCCTGCTTCGCATCCAGCTCCATGCTTGTGGCCTAGGAAAGTAGTCGCGGGTGGCCCAAGGTCCTGGGACCTGCACCCATGTGGGAGACCCAGAAGAGGCTCCATGCCACTGGCTTTGGACGTTGCAGCCGCTTGGGGAGTGAATCAACGGATGGAAGATCTTCCTGTCTCTCTTCCTCTGTGTATATCTGACTTGCCAATAAAATTTTTTTTTTAAAAAAAGGCCTCAGCCAGACACTAGCCATCTCCCCAACCCTGCCCGGCTCCAGACCAGGAAACTGAAAAGACACTGATGCCCAGGGACATGTCTGCACCAAACCACCAAGTCACATGTTCCACAAGTCTTTTAAGGAGGCACTTACACTATAAAGCAAGGTTTTGTTTGACAGTTGCTAAAAATCGTAATTTTTTTTTTATTCAAAAGGCAGAGTTACAGACAGAGGAAAGAGGGAGGGGGGAGAGGCAGAGGGGGGGAGAGGGGGTGAGAGGGGGTGAGAGAGAGAGAGAGAGAGAAATACTATTCTTCCATCTGCATGGCTACAGGGGCCAGGGTTGGACCAGGCCACCGAAGCCAGGAGCCAGGAGCTTCTTCTGGATTTCCTACATGACTACACAGACCCAAGTGCTTGGGCCATGCTCCACGGCTTTCCCAGGCCATAAGCAGGGAGCTGACTTAGAAGTGGAGCAGCTGGGACTCAAACTGGCACCCAATGAGATAACAGTACCGTAGGTGGAGGCTTAACCTTCTAATACCATGGCTGAGCCAGTTCAGTCAGTTTCTAAGTTCTTTTTTTTTTTTTTTAAGAGAGACAGAATTACAAACAAGACAACGTGGAAGACAACATGGACAAACAGGAACAGACTTAGGGTATTACGCCTGGGGATGAGAGGCTCAGGCTGGCTCCTGCTGGTGGCCCTCATTCCCTTGGAGCCTCACCCAAAAGTGTGAGATGAGGGGCACAATGGCACCACCTCCATGGGGTTCACAGCAGCATGAAAAATGGGGAGAGAGAAATGGAATGGCAGCCTGCCTTGTATCCACAAACACAGGATGTATGCATTCAAACTTTGAAGGATGTGTGTTGACAACCACTTCGGATGAGTCATTTTAGGGTGTCAATGTGAGCAGGGCTAGGAATCTGGGCTAAAGGAACTAGGTGTGGCGGGGAGTCTGTCTCTAGCAAAGACATTCCACTGAATCCCTGAGGACCAACCCAGGAAGCTCTGCCCTCCAACCAATCAGCCGGAGCCCTGACTAGATGGACAGGCGAGGGAAGGGTCTCCCTTCTTTCCCCTTCTCCCTCCCCCCAATGCTGGGACACCCCTTTCTCCCCCCCATGAGTATCACAGTCCCACACTCCTGGCCACTGGACAGCAGCTGCCTGCTGCTACCACTGCCTGGTTCTCAGGCTTTCCAGACTGCCCAATGCCCTGTCCTCCAGCACTGAGGCCTCCAGCCTGCTGTGCGATCTGTGGTGTCATGACTTCCAATGTCCCGTGGGCTAATTCTCTTCCCGTGTTCTGTTTGTTTTGTCTCTCTGAAGAGCCTGTGCCCCCAGCATTGGGGAAAAGACACTAACTCCAGCCCATGTGTACAGGAGACAGACAAGCCAGTGATGTTAGTCTGCCATCCCCCGAGAACCCCATGAGAGGCCATGGAGCCACCTGCTGTGAGGGACAGAAGGCCAGCACCTGAGGGAGAAGAGATGTGACCAAGCCAGGGAAGGCAGCAGGAGGGTGGCAGTGGCCGACATCCTCAGGACCCTCCCAGCTGGCATCAGAGCTGTGATGGGGTGGGCGTGGTCCAAGAGACAGGGCAGGCCAGAGACCAGCTCCAGGTGGAGAAGGGTGCGTGGAGTAGGCATAGAGAGAAAAGAAATGGATCACTACGATTTCTTCGAACTTACATAAAGGGTGGGAGTAGAAAGAGGGCACACTGTGGGAAACATGCTAACAAGTGGGCCTTGGTATTCCTCCAGAACGTTCCAGAAGGTTTCAGGTTTTCCCAGTGAAAATGCTGAGGGGGTGAGGGTGCAAGCCAGGGACAGGCAGAAAATCAGTTTGTATTTGCAGCAGAAGCTTCGTTTTATATTCATATAAAAGCCATATGAGATTTGTTTAAGAGCACATTCAAGGGGCTACCCGGCTCAAATCTAAGAATCCATTCCTTGCTCTTTTTGAAGGTTAAAGGAGACTTTGGGGAACAGGCAGAAGCGAGCCCGGCCACAGCTCTGAGCCTGCCTCACGCAGCTGGCACTGAGTGCAGAGGGACACCTGCCTCCTGTCCCACCCTCTCCGCAGACTTACCGGAAGTAGTCGCAGGATGCTGCCAGCAGGATTCTGTGGGCCGCGATGTGTCTCCCCTCCACCACGAGGATGACATCGAAGAGGATGCCGCTGTCCCGCAGTGCCAGCAGCCCCCGGAGCAGGGCCTGGGAGTGCTGTGTGCTGCGGTAAGTGTTGGTGCCACAGTGAGACTGCGAGGGCTGCTGCGAGGGCAGCTTGCACGGCTGGGTGAACTCCTGCTCCTCCGCCATAGCGACGGCTCCACGGGCACCCACCACACCGCCGCGGCCGGCCCGTCAGCTGCAAGGACAAGAGAGCCAGGCCGAGTGAGAGGACAGGCGGCATGCGGAGGGGGAGAGGGGAAAGGCCCAAAAACACCTGTCCCCCTGGGGTGTTCTAAAACAGGCTCAATTGGATAATCCTCTTCCTTGCAACTGCAGGCATCCCATGAGAATGCCGGTTTGGGTCCCTTGGGTCCCAGCTACTCCACTTCCCATCCACCTCCCTGCTTGTGGCCTGAGAAAGCATTCAAGGATGGCCCAAAGCCTTGGGAAACTGCACCCGCATGGGAGACCTGGAGGAGGTTTCTCTCTCCTGGCTTCAGATCGACACAGCACCGGCCGTTGTGGTCACTAGGGGAGTGAGTCATTGCAGGATCTTCCTCTCTGTCCCTCCTCCTCTCTGCACATCTGACTTTTCAAGAAAACTAAATAAATCTTTAAAAAACAAACCTTTACATCGATATGAAGATGGAAGTTGCAACATAGACAAATATTGGCACACTCCATCTTCACATGATGGAACAAGTACCAGGAGGTAAGGAATGGGAAAGGGGACTGTCAGGTTTGGGGGCAGGTTTTGCTCCTACCATTACACACAGCGCAGAATGTTGGCTCCCCACTAGATGGCGCCACTGCTGGTACGCGACCTTTGTCCTTATCTGCTCCAGTGACTTCCTAAGCTGCCTTTCCGGGGTCCACTAAAAGGAGTAAGAGAAGTTGGTGCCAAATTAGAACAAGAAAACAGGACAATCTTTTAACACAGAAGCACTTCTGTTGGTGATGCTAGCTATTACCATGACAACCTCCTCCCGGGCAAGTAATTGTATTTGTTGGACTTACATTCCTCATCCACTGGTTAGCAGACCAGTAACCTGGGTCAACGTCACAGTTCTAGTATAACTTACATTATTTACTTGTGAGATCCTTATGATCTTAGGGGACCTCTTAAGCCTGCAGAGGAGGGGATGATATTAAATGACACTTATCAGACAGGTTCGATGGCATACCCAGCTGCATAGGATATGGGGAACACTGTTTCCATGCATATCCGCAATCATGGCTGATGGCTCTTAACCAGCAGCAAGGAACCGCAGCTGTTTCTATCCAAGCCACTGGATTTTATTGTCATATTCTTAACCAGACTCATTCAAGACATATAGATATAGGTATAGATATAGATATATATACTCACATATGTGCGGGAAAGCCTTAGTCATGTCATTGGATACATTGAGGATGTGTTGAGGATAGCAGTGTGACAAGTGCACAAGTCACTGTACTCTAAGCCTGCAGCAGGAAGCCCATAGTGATTCCCTTCAAATGGGACTAAGCAGCCCAGCTTCTATCACCTTGCATGCAGCAGGGTGGTCTCCTCCAGCTCCTGAAATCCTTCAGCAGCCTAAACAAAACCATCTGTGGAAATTAGTAACGGCACTCAAAGCACGTGAGATTTGGCAAGGACAGGTTGCTAACCAAAGTGGTTTCTTTCCATTTACCACCAAGAAAAAGCAGGCAGTTCCTATATAGGAATAGATCATCAGGTTTGGCTCCCAGTACTAGGTGTTCTTTCTACCCTTGCTTAAATTCTAGCACTAACATTAATTTGTTTTTCCACACAGTCTTTAAATGTTTTAAGAGTCCATATATGTGGGCCTGGCGGCGTGGCCTAGCGGCTAAAGTCCTTGCCTTGAATGTGCCGGGATCCCACATGGGCGCCGGTTCTAATCCCGACAGCTCCACTTCCCATCCAGCTCCCTGCTTGTGCATCACATCAATCAGAGCAAGCACTTGTATGCAGAGCCCAGCAATTTGGAATTGACCATGTTGTTTTTGGAAGATCAACTACAACCTATCAATCAAAGACTTTCATTAAAGTGTGACTGGGAATATACCCCCTTTTGTGGTATTCCCGTTCGTTGGAATCAATCTTCATTACCTTGGGATAGCACAAGACAGCATTTGTGTGCCAGGAAAATGTTTCTGGTCAATAGTTCAAACTGGAATGAGAAATTGGATCCATTCTCAGGGAAGTTACACAAGGTTCCAGGTACCTGGTTTTGAGGAACATATGTTCTCTGTTCCTTTTTACCAATGGCTACTTTACGGGAGAGTAGGAATTATTATTTTGATCATACTTACATAATGCCTTTTTGCATTATATCTGCTTAGTGTGCAAGAATAGACCCAATGATACCAAGCAATGACGTAACATCACTACAGCGTTAATATGTTTATGCCTTGTAATTCACAACAAAGAGGAAAGGACAGAATAATTGGCAAGGTGAATGCATTCGTGGAACTCTGCAACCTCCTAAGAAACACCTGCATCCTGTCATGAGAAGAACCCTGATTCTGAAACACCAGGAGGCAAACAGGAGATAGGAATGGTCTCGGGGTTTTGAGAATTCCCAGGAAGGACAGTTACCTTCGAGGCATCCTGTGTACTGTCTACATAGAAGTGATAGGATTGGAATCCTGGGATTTTGCACTATAAACACTGTTAATTTTTAACTGATCCATATCAGAAAATAACCCACATTATGTATTTATATCATGTATATATTGATTTTCCCATAGATACTTGCTATTTACAATTCATGCTTACTTTGTTCAATGCACTTGCTGTTCATTCCAAGAGCTGGGCGCCCAACTGGATGTTAAATAAAAATCATTTCACCTTCCTTGGAGTCTCACAAGATTTTTCTTGAACTCTTACAATGCTTGGAAACCATTCACCTGTGAAGGAATTCATAGAACACATAGGAATTAGGAAAAAAACTACTAATACAAGAACTCCATTAAGAACTAAACAAAGAATCTAACCAGAATGTTTTCAAATATTAGTGCCAACAAACGTGCAAAACTTATCACTAGTGACCAGGGACATGGTAAAAAACAAATTGGTCATCTCACTTTATCTGGGAAAGATGTTATCAGAATCATTACAGACACACTAGTGGAGCTGTGGGGAGGAGGGAATCCTCATGTGATGGCGATAGAGCTACAAAGAAGCACACCCAGTGAGAGCAGCGTCAGCTTGCTCTAAAAGCTTCAATGCCATCTCCTCTGTGCATAACTGAGAAAGAGGAAAGCAGCCCGGATCCCTGTCCTCCTGGACTCACTGGAGCGTCATGCACAGCAGGCAGGGGAGGGAAGCAAGCCAGGTCTCCATCGACAGGTGAATGGATGAAGGAAAAGGTTACAAATACACGGTGGAATAGTACTCAGTTACAAGAGTCAGATCTTAGCATCTGCTGGAAAAGACATGGATCTGGTGATCACTCTGCCCAGGACGCTAAGCCAGGTACAAAAAGGCAAATACTGAAGGGTTCCTTTAGTGCATAGGAGGCGTTTTTAGAAGCTCATCAGAAATTACAATGATGATTACTAAAAGTAACTAAGTGTGTTGAGGGAAAGGTGACAGAAGGGCTCTGGATACTGGGGAGAAAATACAGTTAGATCAAAGCGTAGGGGCAGGTATTTACAGTAAGAGTTAGGGTGTTACCTGGGTGCCAACACCACATGTTGGAAGTGCCTGGACTTCAATCTAGGCTCAATTCTGGCTTCCTGGTGATGTGCACCTTGGCAGCCAGCAGCTCAAGCAGCTATGGTCCTGGATGGAGCTCTAGAAGCTGGGCTTCAGCCTGGCACAAACCTGACCATGTGGGCACCTGCACTAAAACAACAGGTGGAATATATCTGTGTATATGTGTGTGTCTTTCAAGTGAGTAAATTAAAAAGGAAAGTAAACAACAACAACAACCTTTCAAATGAGTAAATATAAAAAAGGAAACTGCACTGCACGGGGTTATCTCTCAGAACAATGCATCACAGCCCCAGACAGATGGTAAGCCTCAAGCAGAAGGAAAGTGACAACAATGCCTCAACTCAGGACTGAACTCTACACCAAGAAATCTCTTCAGCTGCATACATCAACCCAACGTCGATATTAAAAATGAGGTATTCTTTTTAAGAAAAATAGTAAGGGATAAAGGATGCCAGAATTAAAAAAAATAATAAAGATGATAATCTGTCTCAAACACACAGAGGCCGCTGAAGACATCATGGTGTAAATTAACTCATGTGTGTATTGAAAAAGGCACTTGGGCTAGTGTTGTGGTGTAACAGGTCAAGCTGTCACATATGACCACAGTGCCAATTCGAATCCTGGCTTCCTATTTCACTTTTAAGGGATTTCTTTAGTTTTTGAAAGGCAGAGTTACAGAGCAGGACAGCCAGATCTCCTGTCAGCTGATCCACTCTTCTCCAGGAGTGCAGCAGCCAGGGCCCAGCCAGGGCCCAGCCAGGGCCACCCCAGGAACGTGGAGCGCCATGCAGGTCTCCCACACAGGTGGCTGCAAGCACCTGGGCCTTCTTCTGCTCCTTCCAAAGCACAAGGATCTTATACAGTCTCCAGTGTTTAGGCTAGTCTACTCCACTTCCCATCCAGCTCCCTGATGTTTGCCTGAAAAAGCTACATAAGATGTCCCGAGTCCTCGGGCCGCTGCATGCATTCCTGGATCCTGCTTTGCCCTGGGTGGCCTTTGTTCTGGGGCCATTTAAGGAGTGAACTAGCACAGGGCAGACTCTCGGCCTCTCCCTCTCTGCCTGTAACTGCCTCTCCAATAAAGTAAAGAACTCGTCACAAGGAAATAAGGACAGAGATGCCCCGCTCCACTGTTCACCCCTGAATGGGTCGTGACGGCTGAGAACAGGGACAGGCAAAAACCAGGAGACTCCAACACGTTCTCCCATGGAGGAGAACCTAAGCACTGGGGCCATCTGCCACAATGTCCCTTTTTCATTAGTAGAGAGAGATCAGAAGTGGAACAAGCAGGACTGGAGCTTATACTCACATGGGATTTCAACATTGTAGGCAGGGGCCTAACACACTGCACCACAATCCCAGCTGCTACAGGAAACCCACGGAGATGCTTCAGAACAGATACAGAACAGCTAAAGGAAGTGATGTCATCCTGAGAGATCATAGGTATTTTCAAGTCTGTGCTGGGGAGATGAGAAATGGAAAGAGACTTAAAACCTTCCGTGACAATTTACAATGCAAGCCAGCACAGCTGGATTATGGAGGAAAAGGGAATAGAAAATATGGGCTTAGAAACAATGTGAAACTCTCCCTGCATTTTGTGAAAAGCCTCATTTACACCTTCAACTTGCTCAAAATCTCAAAAAAAAAAAAAAAAAAAACCTGTTCAGGACAAATCATGACCAAGTTACCGTAATCTAAACTTGAAGAGAAGATCTTGAATGTGGCCAAAGAAAGAACAGCACAGAGCATAGTAAGGTGCAAGCAGGAATGCATAGCAGCTACTTCCCATCACACATCAGGACACCATCACCCAGGGCCACAATCCCCCTCCTAGAATTCACTGCCCCCGGATCTCCTGTGAACTGGACACTCAAAGCAGGAGTAGGAAGCCAGCAGCCCCATGCAGAAAACAGGACATCACTTACTAAACCGACACAGCTTCCACCTGCACTGCACTTCGCAGAGTCCTCAGGGAACCGGGCAGTGCTGTCGATGTGCTCATCTCCAGCTGGGGCTCTCAGCGCCAGAGCCAGCATGTGGTTTCACACACCTCGCAGTGCACCTCCCCGGGAGCCTGTCACTGCACAGCCAGCACACACGGCCAGCTCGTCCAGGCAGCTCCTTCCCCTTCTGTTCCAGGAGCACACGCCAGTCTCCGGCGCCGCGGGTCTTCTGGCAGAGTGATCACTGACATCGCGCTGTCTTCCTCACCCTTTCCCAGCCAGAGGATGCAGCGCCATTGTTCTGCAGGTTCCGTCTGCATGGGGTGGCGCCCGCTGAGATGCACCGCTGGGTCTGCACTCACCACGTGGGGAGCACCACCCCACTCCAGGGCCCTGCAAAGCCCACAGGACTTCTCTCTGTCTCTCATCCAGCTCGCCAGGACGTGAAACCGACTGCACAGCCTGTGGATGATCCCCAGCAGAGACACAGAGCCTGGAATTCAGAGAGGAAATGGCGAGAAAGCACAGGAGACCCTGGAAGGACCCTTCCCAGGCGCTTGCTGATGACGTCATCGGGAGACTACATTTCCCAGGAGGCTCAGCTCTGGTTCCTTAGGAACCTAGTAATGATCTTGCTATCAGGATAGAGACCTAGTGCGTCAGAACTGGTCCTTATCCAGATAGCAGAGACGTGAGAATCCGGTTCTGTGTTGACTCAAATTCTTTTTTTTATTTTTAAAGATTTATTTCATTTTTATTGGAAAGGCGGATATACAGAGGGGCCCTGTTGACTCAAATTCTGACGAAGTCTGGATTTTGCTAAGGAGTAAAATTTTTATTACTCCTGAAATGCCTGTTCTTCAAGTCCTCGCCTTTAACACGCCAGGATCCCACATGGGCGCCGGTTCTAATTCCAGCAGCTCAATTTTCCATCCAGTTCCCTGCTTGTAGCCATGGAAAGCAGTGCAGACCAAAGCCTTGGGATCCCGCACCCGTGTGGGAGATCTGGAGGAAGTTCCTGGCTTCAGATTGGTTTACCTTTGGCTGTTGCAGTCACTTGGGGAGTGAATTATTGTACATAAGACCTTCTCTCTCTCTCCTCCTCCTCTCGTATATCTGCCTTTGTAATATAAATAAATATTTTAAAAAGATGTTCTCACACAGAAGATTAATTTGTGACTCGGCACTGGATTGAGTTGCATAATGGAGAACAGTGCTTTCGGATGTGTGGTAACGCAAAAGTTAGCATGCCATAATCCATGTGCTATGTAAAAACATTGGACCCCAAAATGCTAAATTCTATGACCGAGAATGGATCGTCTATTGATATTTTTATTGTTGTGGTTCTCTCTGGTGGCCAGTAGGAGGCACCATTTCTCCACAAATCGAGAGTTTCCTAGCTTTGTATCAGTTGAGCCACTTAGACCTTTAAGTCTATGACCGTGAATCAACAATAAGGCACATTAACAATTGTGGATGTCCATAGGACATGTTCATTGCAACACAATCAATAATTGCAAAAATGTGGAAGTAATCTAGATGCCCATTAGCAGAAGATTGAATAAACAAACTGTGCTTCATCTAGGCTATGGAATTCTACTCACCTATTAGAAAGAATGAAATACAACAATTTGAAGGCAAGTGGACCAAAATGGGGAGCATTTTTCTTAGGTAAAGAGACAACTGGAAAAGGTCAGATATCATATGTTTGCTCTAACATGACAGCCACTAAGCATACACAACAGCAGCAACATAGAGAACAAACAAACACGTGAAACCCTACAATGGAAGGATGCAGCAGAGGCCAGGCTACCAGGACTCAGGGAAAATCGACCGCATGCATCTCTACTATGGAGTAAAAGTAGGCATACACTTGTTTTTAAGAGATTGTGCCCTGGTCATGCTCAGTGTTAGCATAGCTAGGGGATGTTTTGCTCGTCTTCTCAGGGAATGGCTGTGTCAGTGGGGCGGGGAGGGAACTTGGCATGACGGATGGGAATCCAAGTGCTTATTAAACTGTGTCCTAAAACAAAATTTTACAAGTATCAATTAGAATAAAGATGTTGAAAAGATAACAAAAAATAAATGATTTTTGAGAAAAGTACCAACAGCACGCTTTGGAGAAACACAAGTCATCAATAAATGTTACTGGCAAAAATATATGTCAATATATAAAATAAAATTAGATTCATACCTCATAAAAATGATCTCAAGCTGGGTCCAAGACCTAAATTCATGTCCTGACACTATGAAATTGTTACAAGAAAATGTAGGGGAGATACTTGAAAACATCAATGAGGGTGGTTGTTTTTTAATGAGACTCCAAAGATCAGGCAACAAAAGCAAAAGTAGGATAGTTAAATTTAATATAAATCAGAAATGTATGCATAGCCATGGAAACATCAAAAGAGTGATTAGACACATGACAGAATGGGAGAAGATTCTTGCATGCTCCTTACTCAACAATATATTCACATCTACAACAAGAGAAGCATTTAATAAAGAAATGGAACAAGAAACTGAATAGACAATTCTCAATATTACAAATGGAAATAGAGAACAAAAGTAAGGGAAAAATGCTTAACATAACTAGCTATGAAAATGCATTTTGCAACCCCAAAGAGACACTGTGCACAATAGGCTAAGCCAGTATGGGTGCTGGTTCAAGGACCTGACAGCTCCCTTCCAATCCAGCTTTCTACCAATAGCTTGGGAAGCACCAGAAGATGGTTCAAGTGCTTGGGTCCCTGCACCCACTAGGGAGACCCCAAGTTCTTCATCGCTGGCTTTGGATCAGCTAATCTTTGGCTGTTGTGATCTTTTGGGGAGGGGACCAGTAGCTGAAAGATATTCTCTCTCTCACTCTGCTTTTCAAATAAAAAATTAATCTTTTTTTAAAAAATGATGAAGATATATCACTTCAACACAATCTAAATAGCTCTTACCCTCAAAAGAGCAACACACACCAGCAAGGATGTGGTGAAGGGCAACTTCAACACACCATTGGCTTGTTGTCCGTGAGTGTGGAAACTATGGGAAATAGTGTGGAGACTTCCTTAATGGCTAGGGATACAAGTGTCGTATGATCTAGCAGTCCTAGTACCAGATATAGACCCCAAAGTCATAAATCCGTTGCCTCAAAAACATACCTCATTCATTGTGTTAATGTACATTAAAATAATCATTTATTCCATAGGCATGGTTACAGAGAGAGAAAGAGAGAGACAGAGAGGTCTTTGATCCAGTGGTGCACAGCCCAGCAGGCTGCAATGGCTGGGGCTGGGCTAAGCCAGGAGCTGCTTCTGTGTCTCCTACGTGGTAGCAGGGGTACAGGATGCACGTCACCCTGTATTATCTTCCCAGGTAAAGTAGCAGGGGACTGAACTGGAAGTGAGGTCTCTGGGACCTGACCCAGTGCTTACCTGGGATGTTGGCCCTGCAGAGTAGCTCAACCTGGCGCACCTCAGTTCCAGCCCCAGCACCAGGTTTATGGCAGCACTGTTGCTCACAATAGCCCAAACATAGACTCTGCCATCCCTGGATGAGTGGAGCCTTGCACCCCTGTCTGCCGGCAGCCATCAGGTAAGCCAGGCTGGGTGCCTATGAGTGCAACCAGGAGTGATGGAGAAGGAACAGTCAGATGTGATTCTCTTTCTCTTTAGAGTCCACGGTGGGCAGCACCTTTAGCTGGCTGTGTGGTACAGAGTGCCATGCGCCACTGGGCTGCAGACTGGGATACATGGCCAGGCAGGGTTATACCATATATAAGATTCCTGTGCAGCATCATGTCCACAAGCGCACAGTTCCTAAGCATATCATGCCGTGAACCAGCCAAGTGCACAAAGCCTTCAGTCTGCTGCCAGGGGGTGAGTCAGGCACCTCGATGGAGCTCCAAGGACCCACGTTCATTCTAATTCATGCTCCTGTTTCTGGTGATGCATGCCATTGATAATCTGGCTAAAGCTGCATTGGAACTAGATTGCTTTAGATAGTACAGACATTTTAATATTATTAATTCTTCTATTCCACAAGAAAGGAAGAACTTGGTAAGAATTGTGTGTCTTTCATGATTTCTTTGCCTCCTTCCATATCTGGAATTCATCTTATCTCACTTTACTATGACATTGGCCCCAAGTACTTTTGGCTTTAACACAATGGCCTCCTACGTATTAAATCAACTCCTTACCTCCCTAGAGAGCTGTACAATCATGAAGACTACATAAAGCATGATGCTCGTACAGCTCTTTAGGGAGGCAAGGAGTTGATAAGGTGTAGCTTTGTGAAAGTTCTTACACTGTAGAACGCTTACTTCTCTGAGCAGGAGAACATTTTTTGCTGTGTAACTGCAGTCTTCAGAGTGCAACAGATTTTAGCATACAGAAGCACTGTCTGAAGAGTTTCTGGCAGATGTTTTGTTTGAGCAAAAAGAGCACATGTTTCAGAGAAACATCTTCCAGACTGTGACCTTACGCTTTTTAATCTTTTCAAGATGCACATGTGAGATGCTGGCATGGTGATTGGATGGGCAACTTGCTGCTTATCACACTGGCATCCCTTATGTACCTAGGTTCAAGTCTAGGGTGCCCCATTTTGACTCAATTCCCTTCCAGAGCATCTTGGAATACAGCAGGAGTCACAGAGACAGGAGAGAGTGAGAGAGAAAAAGGGAGAGAGGCAGAGAGAGCTCCCCTCTGCTGATTCACTCTCCAGATGGCTGCAATATGACCAAGCGCTTGCACCATCTTCTGCTGCCTTTCCCATGCCCTGAGCAGGGAGCTAGATCTAAACTAGAGCAGCTGACAATTTGGCCCATGTAGGATGCTGGTGTCACAGGTGATGGCTTTAACCACTGTTCCACCACAGCAACCCCATCACGTGTACTGCTCTAAGAATTTAAGGATACTTAACACCATACCCTTCGTTCCCACCTCGTTTCCACTTTCTCTCCTCCTTTCCTTACTTTTTGAGATAGTTTCAGCTTGATTTGGAAGACAGATTTTAAACTAAGAGCCAGAGTTGTGCTCAACTGGAGCTGGGAGACAGAAGCTTCTTACAGTTCTACCACATGGGGGCACCATCCTCCACTGCTTTCCCAGGATCATTAGCAGTGAGTTGAATTGTAAGTGGAACAACCATATCTCAATCCTGTGTCAAGGGTTCCAGCACTGCGGTTATCCAACTAAACCACAGTGCCAGCCCCAATATTTTCTTTATGTAGTCTTCATTTGCTTTTAAGATGTATTTGTTTTTATGGAATGTCAGATATACGAAGAGCAGGAAAGATGGAGAAGATCTTCTGTCTGCTTCTTCATTTCCAAAGTGGCCAAAATGGCTGGAGCTGAGCTGATCTAAAGCCCAGAGCCTGGAGCTTCTTCTAGGTCTCCCATGTGGGCGCAGAATCCAGGGCTTTGAACCATCCTAGGTTGCTTTCCCAAGCTACAGGCAGGGAGCTGGTTGGAAAGTGGGGCCACTGGGATACAAACTGAAGCCATATGGGATTCTGACACATCCAAGATGAGGACTTCATCTAAAAGGCGACCACGGGCCCTTTAGCCCATGTCGTAACTGGATTGCTGCTTTGGTGTTGCTGAGTTTCTTGAG